CCCCCCCCAAACCCAACCAGGACCCCTCGACCCCCCCAAGACCCCCCCAACCCCATCCAGGACCCCCCAAACCCCCCCAAGACCCCCCCCAAACACCTTCAAGACCCCCCCCAAACCCATCCAGGACCCCTCAACCCCCCCCCAAACCCATCCAGGACCCACCAACCCCAACGCAGGACCCCCTAAACCCCCTCAAGACCCCCCCAAACACCTTCAAGACCCCCCAAAACCCATCCAGGACCCCTCAACCCCCCCCCCAAGACCTCCCCAACCCCATCCAGGACCCCCCAAACCCCCTTAAAGCCCCCCCCAAACCCATCCACGACCCCCCCCCACCCCCCAAGGACCCCCTCCACCACCTCCCATTTGGAATATTGGGGTGCCCCCCCCCCCCCCCCACCTCCTGCTCCGTGTCCGTTCCTGACTGTTTGGGATCCTTCCCCTTCCCGCCGGGGCCCCCGTTCTTCCGACCAGCTCCGGGGCGACGACCCCTGGAAGGACACCCCCCCCCCCCAAAGACATTGGGGACCCCCCATTGTAACCCACAACACCCCAATGGAAAGGACCCAGGTATTGGAGACACCCCCCCCCCCCCCCCAAGACATTGGGGACCCCCCATTGTAACCCACAGCACCCCAATGGAAAGGACCCAGGTATTGGAGACACCCCCCCCCCACAAAGACATTGGGGACCCCCCATTGTAACCCACAGCACCCCAATGGAAAGGACCCAGGTATTGGAGACACACCCCCCCCCCCCAAAGACATTGGGGACCCCCCATTGTAACCCACAGCACCCCAATGGAAAGGACCCAGGTATTGGAGACACCCCCCCCCAAGACATTGGGGACCCCCCATTGTAACCCACAGCACCCCAATGGAAAGGACCCAGGTATTGGAGACACCCCCATCCCCCCCAAGACATTGGGGACCCCCCATTGTAACCCACAGCACCCCAATGGAAAGGACCCAGGTATTGGAGACACCCCCCCCCCACACCCCAAAGACATTGGGGACCCCCCATTGTAACCCACAGCACCCCAATGGAAAGGACCCAGGTATTGGAGACACCCCCCCCCCCACCAAAGACACTGGGGACCCCCCATTGTAACCCACAGCACCCCAATGGAAAGGACCCAGGTATTGGAGACACCCCCCTCCCAAAGACATTGGGGACCCCCCATTGTAACCCACAGCACCCCAATGGAAAGGACCCAGGTATTGGAGACACCCCCCCCCCCAAAGACATTGGGGACCCCCCATTGTAACCCACAGCACCCCAATGGAAAAGACCCAGGTATTGGAGACACCCCCCCCCCACCAAAGACATTGGGGACCCCCCATTGTAACCCACAGCACCCCAATGGAAAGGACCCAGGTATTGGAGACACCCCCACCCCCCCCAAGACATTGGGGACCCCTCATTGTAACCCACAGCACCCCAATGGAAAGGACCCAGGTATTGGAGACACCCCCCCCCCAAAGACATTGGGGACGCCCCATTGTAACCCACAGCACCCCAATGGAAAGGACCCAGGTATTGGAGACACCCCCCCCCCAAAGACATTGGGGACTCCCCATTGTAACCCACAGCACCCCAACGGAAAGGACCCAGGTATTGGAGACACACCCCCCAACCCAAAGACATTGGGGACCCCCCATTGTAACCCACAGCACCCCAATGGAAAGGACCCAGGTATTGGAGACACCCCCCCCCCCAAGACATTGGGGACCCCCCATTGTAACCCACAGCACCCCAATGGAAAGAACCCAGGTATTGGAGACACCCCCCCCCCAAAGACATTGGGGACCCCCTATTGTAACCCACAGCACCCCAATGGAAAGGACCCAGGTATTGGAGACACCCCCCCCCCCCAAAGACATTGGGGACCCCCCATTGTAACCCACAGCACCCCAAAGGAAAGGACCCAGGTACTGGAGACACCCCCCCCCCACACCCCAAAGACATTGGGGACCCCCCATTGTAACCCACAGCACCCCAATGGAAAGGACCCAGGTATTGGAGACACCCCCCCCCCCCAAGACATTGGGGACCCCCCATTGTAACCCACAGCACCCCAATGGAAAGGACCCAGGTATTGGAGACACCCCCCCCCACACCCCAAAGACATTGGGGACCCCCCATTGTAACCCACAGCACCCCAATGGAAAGGACCCAGGTATTGGAGACACCCCCCCCCTCCATGGGATCCAGTGGTTTGGGGATCCCCTCCCTGTACCCCATTCCCATAGGGAACCACTCTCTCATCGATCCCCCCCTTCCCTGTGGCACCCATATGGGGATGTCAGGGGGGTCCCATATGTTGGGGGGGGGGGGATCACCCACCTGCGGGGCCCCCTCTCCCCATCACCATGGGGCTCCTCGCCTTCCCCCTGCATATCCGGCACCGCGGCCACCAAATCCTTAAGGAAATCGAACTGCTGCTCCAGCTCGATGCATTGCTTCCTATGGGACAAAAAAGGGGGGGGGGATATGTGGGTCAGCAGGCCACGCCCCCCAACATCAAACCACGCCTCCTTCCCCATAAGCTCCGCCCCCCCTCTCTCCTATAAGGCTTAAAGAGGGAATGAGATAATCAAGGCATGGAGCCATGCGGATGCTCCTAAATGGGTCCTGAGTACCCCAAGGGCCTCCCCAACCCCCCCCCCCTTAACAAATGGGGCCCAGGGACCCCAATGGGACCTGGGTGCTAAGGTGGAGGGTGGGGGGGGTGCTCACAGGTGGGACGTGGTCATGGTCTTGGCGTTGCGGGACTGGGTGACGTGACAGGCCTTCCGCAGCAGTGACTCCAGGAAGAGCTCCAGAGCCCGGGCTGGGGTGCTAAGGACCCCCACGGACACCCCCTGGCACCCATGGGTACCAATGGGCACCCATAGAATCGCATAAACCACGATGGACACCCATGAAACCCTAGGGATCCCCAGAGCCACCTCCACATGGGCACCCATAGATCTGCACAGACCCCACCATGGGCACCCATAGGCCCCCACAAACCCCGATGGACACCCATGAAGCCCTAGGGATCCCTACAGACATCTCCCCCTGGGCACCCATAGACCCCGCCATGGGCACCCATAGACACCCATAGGCACCCATAGACCCCCATAAACCCCAATAGACACCCATAAAACCCTAGGGATCCCCAGAGCCACCTCCCCATGGGCACCCATAGACCCCTACAGACCCCGCCATGGGCACCCATAGGCCCCCATAAACCCCAATGGACACCCATAAAACCCTAGGGATCCCTACAGACATCTCCCCTTGGGCATCCATAGACCCCGCCATGGGCACCCATAGACACCCATGGGCACCCATAGACCCCCATAAACCCCAATGGACACCCATAAAACCCTAGGGATCCCCAGAGCCACCTCCACATGGGCACCCATAGATCCCCACAGACCCCACCATGGGCACCCATAGACCCCCATAAACCCCAATGGACACCCATAAAACCCTAGGGATCCCCACAGACACTTCCCCCTGGGCACCCATAGACCCCCACAGACCTCCCCATAGACACCCAGAGAGCTCCCATGGACCCCAACCCCTTTGCCAGCCCATGGGGAACCAGGCCCCAAGTGCACCCCAATCCCCCACCCATGGGGAACCAGGCCCCAATCCCACAGGATCCAGGGCTACCCATAAGCAGGGGGGACCACGATGACATGGGAAGGACTCAAAGGGCTGGGGGCCACCCAGGCCTCTGGAATAGGGGGGGGCCTCAGGAGGGATGGCACTGGGGAGCACCCATGGGTGCAGAGGTGGTGGGGGGACACCCCGATACCCATGCTGGGGTGACCCCGGTGCCACTACCCCATAAGGATACAGATGATGACGGGGACGGCGGCCGCCACCTTCCCGATCTCCTCATCCGTCTGCATGATCTTCTTGATCCGTGCCTGGGGAGCAGGAGGGAAACTGAGGCATAGCCACGCCCCCCTCCCCAAGCCACGCCCCCTCCCCTAACCACGCCCCCTCCACAACCACGCCCCCTCCCATAATCACCTCCCCCCTCTATCCTTTTATATGGGCCTGAAAAGGACCACGCACAAGCCACGCCCACTCCCCTAACCACGCCCCCTCCCATAATCACCTCCCCCCTCCATCCCTTTATATAGGCCTGAAAAGGACCACACACAAACCACGCCCCCTCCCCTAACCGCGCCCCCTCCATAACCACGCCCCCTCCCATAATCACCTCCCACCTCCATCCTTTTATATGGGCCTGAAAAGGACCACGCACAAGCCACGCCCCTCTTAAACCACGCCCCCAACCCCCTTTACAAAGGGGGGGCTCCCTGCACAAGCCACGCCCCCTCACATAACCACGCCCCCTCCATCATTTGATATGATGAAGGGGACCACGCACAACCCACGCCCGCCTTAAACCACGCCCCTAATTGAGGCCACACCCCCCAACACCTTACAAAGAGGGGCTCCTTACAGAAGCCACACCCCCAAGCCTATGCCACGCCCCGTTGCCATGGTCACGAACCCCACACCCCGTCACGTGGACCTGTAGGCACCGCCCCCTGCACAAAGCCACGCCCCCTCCCGTAAACCACGCCCCCTCCATCGTTTTATATGGTGATGAAGGGGACCTCGCGCCCTCTTAAACCACGCCCCCAATCGAGGCCACGCCCCCCCACCGGCCTTTAAAAGGGGGGGCTTCCTACAGAAACCACGCCCCCAATCCGACGCCACGCCCCGTTGCCATGGTCACGAACCCCACACGCCCTCACCTGGGGCCATAGGCACCGCCCCCTACACAAACCACGCCCCCCCCCAAGCCACGCCCTCACGCACTCCCCTCCCCGTTGCCATGGTGATCACCCCCCACCCCACTTCCGCCTCAGGCCCCGCCCCTCCCCGCTGACCGGCGGGAACCGCGCATTGTATTTCTTCTTCTTGCTCGGCATCGCCCCGGTTCCGGTTCCGGTTCCGGTCCGGTTCCGGTCCCGCTGCGGGCCCCGGCCCCGCCTGGGCCTCTCCTTTCCTCCGCTCCGGTGCCGCGGCCCTGCCGCCGACAAGCCCCGCCCCTTCCGGGGGGGGTGTGGAAACAAGCCCCGCCTTTTCCTCTTGTGGCTCCGCCTCCCGCGGGGGCTGCGCTTTGCGCACGGCCCGCAAGGGCACCCATGCAAACCACGCCCCCCCGTTAAAGCCACGCCCACAAACCAAAGCTGGCTCATACCATTTATTGGGGGGGGGGTAATAAACGGGGGGGGTGTGTGTGTAAATCCTTCCGCTCCCCCCCCATAAGGCACTTTGGTTCGGGGGGGCGGGATTAATGCTGGTGAGGGGGGGGGCCTGAGGGCTCCCAGTGAACCCCAGTTGCTCCCAGACATCCCCCCCCCCGTAGGCACTTGGTTCCTTCCCAGTCACTCCCAGTTCTATACTGGGAGTGCTCAGTCCCATCCAGACCCCCCCCCATTGCCCCCAGTTGCCCCTAGAAGCCTCCCAGTAGCCCCCCAGTAACCCCCTAAAAGGCTCCCCATAGGCCCCCAGTTCCCCCCCCCCACCCCCCCATTAAACCCTCCCAGTAGCTCCCAGTGCCTCCCAGTTAGGAGGAGGGGAAGTGGCTGAGCAAAGCACTGAAGTCCAGGTCCCCCAGGGAGGGCAACGAATCCTCGGGGTCCGCCCCCCCCCCCAAATCAGGGCACCCCCCCCCTACATCCGCTCCCCCCATCACTTCCACCCCCCCACTCCCAAACTGGGACCCCCCAACCCCAAACTGGGACCCTGCCCCCCCAAACTGGGCCGCCCCCCCCCCTCCCCCAGCCCCGTCCCCCCCCTGCACCAGGCGAGCGATGGCTTCGGGATACGACATCAGCATGGCCGGGGGGGGAGCGGGTACCCCGCCACCTCCTCCATCCGCCCCCCCAAAAGCCAATGGGGGGTCCCCAAAAGGCGGAGGGGTGGGATCGGGGGGCCCCAGCAGCCGCTGCACCTCGGCAGCGTTGATGGTCTCCAAGGGGGGGAACTGGGGGTCCCCCAAGAGCACCCCCAGGTCCAATGGGGACACCCCCCCCCCCGCGTCCGGAATGGAACCTTCCTCAGCCACCTGCAGCTGCAGCAGGGCCTCGGCCAAGGGCTCGGCTGCGGGGGGGGGCGGGGCCGGGGGCGGAGCTTCCCCCAGCGCCCCCCCCGGGACCCCGAAACAAGGGGGGGGGGCTGTGAAGAAGAGGAGGGGGAGGGGGGCTGGAGCAGTTACAGTGATCCCAGTGCCCCCCAGTAGCCCCCCAGTAGCTCCCAGTAGCCCCCCAGTAGCTCCCAGTAGCCCTGAATAGCTCCCAGTAGCCCCCCAGTAGCCCCCCAATAGCTCCCAGTAGCTCCCAGTCACTCCCAGAGCCCCCCAGTAGCTCCTAGTAGCCCTGAATAGCTCCCAGTAGCCCCCAGTAGCCCCCCAGTAGCCCTGAATAGCTCCCAGTAGCCCCCGAGTAGCCCCCCGATAACTCCCAGTAGCTCCCCCAATAACTCCCAGTCACTCCCAGCGCCCCCCAGTAGCCCTGAATAGCTCCCAGTAGCCCCCGAGTAGCTCCCAGTCAATCCCAGTGCCCCCCAGTAGCATTGAATAGCTCCCAATAGCCCCCCAATAGCTCCCAGTAGCCCCCAGTAGCTCCCAGTAGCTCCCAGTAGCCCCCAAGTAGACCTGAATAGCTCCCAGTAGCCCCCCCAGTAGCCCCCAATAGCTCCCAGTAGCCCCCCAGTAGCTCCCAGTCACTCCCAGTGCCCCCCAGTAGCCCTCCAATAGCTCCCAGTAGCCCCCCAGTAGCTCCCAGTCAATCCCAGTGCCCCCCAGTAGCCCCCCAATAGCTCCCAGTAGCCCCCCAGTAGCTCCCAGCCACTCCCAGTGCCCCCCAGTAGCCCTGAATAGCTCCCAGTAGCCCCCCAGTAGCTCCCAGTCAATCCCAGTGCCCCCAGTAGCATTGAATAGCTCCCAATAGCCCCCCAATAGCTCCCAGTAGCCCCCAGTAGCTCCCAGTCACTCCCAGTAGCCCCCCAGTAGCCCTGAATAGCTCCCAGTAGCCCCCCCAGTAGCCGTGAATAGCTCCCAGTAGCCCCCCAGTAGCTCCCAGTCACTCCCAGTCCCCCCAGTAGCCCCCCAATAGCTCCCAGTAGCCCCCCAGTAGCTCCCAGTCAATCCCAGTGCCCCCCAGTAGCATTGAATAGCTCCCTATAGCCCCCCAGTAGCCCCCCAATAGCTCCCAGTAGCCCCCCAATAGCCCCCCCATCATTCCCAGTGCCCCCCAGTTTCTCACCCATGGAGGGGGGGGGCTGTGGGGCCGGGCAGGGCCGCGAGGGCACCGCGAAGCGCCGGGGGGGGCGGGGCTCGGGGGGGGCGAGACCTGGGGGGAGGGGGAGGGAAGAGGGAGGGAACGTCAGGGACCCCCCCACGGGGACCCCAAATATCCCCCCTAGGGCCCCAATAACCCCTCTGGGGACCCCAATTCCCCCCTAGGGCCCCAATAACCCCTCTGGGGACCTCAATACCCACCCCCCAGGGACCCCAATACCCCCCTAGGGCCCCAATAACCCCCCTGGGGACCCCAATACCCCCCAGGGACCCCAATACCCCCCTAGGGCCCCAATAACCGCTCTGGGGACCCCAATAACCCCCCTGGGGACCCCAATACCCCCCAGGGACCCCAATACCCCCTTAGGGCCCCAATACCCCCCTAGGGCCCCAATAACCCCTCTGGAGACCCCAATAACCCCCCCCAGGGACTCCAATACCCCCCTAGGGCCCCAATAACCCCTCCAGGGGACCCCAAATACCCCACTAGGGCCCCAATAACCCTCCCAGGGACCCCAAATACCCCCCTTGGAACCCAAATACCCCACTAGGGCACCAGTAACCCCCCCAGGCACCCCAAATACCCTCCTAGGGCCCCAATAACACACTCAGGACCCCAAATACCCCCCTAGGGCCCCAATAACACACTCAGGACCCCAAATACCCCATAGGGACCCCAATAACACACTGAGGACCCCAAATAGCTCATAGGGACCCCAAATACCCCCTCTAGGGCCCCAATAACCCCTCCAGGGGACCCCAAATACCCCCCTTGGAACCCAAATACCCCACTAGGGCACCAATAACACCCCCAGGCACCCCAAATACCCCCCTAGGGCCCCAATAACCCCCCCAAGGACCCCAAATACCCCCCTAGGGCCCCAATAACACACTCAGGACCCCAAATACCCCATAGGGACCCCAAATACCCCCTTAGGGCCCCAGGACCCCCCCATTGCCTCCCCTGCGCCCCCCACCGGGCATTGGGCTGCGCTGCACGAAGGAGCGGAAGGTGTCCCGGGTGCGCTTGCGCTTCTCCTCGATGCACTGCAGGTCCCCTGCAACCAGTAACACCAGTAAGGGACCAGTGACACCAGTAAGGGACCAGTGACACCAGTAAGGGACCAGTAACACCAGTAAGGGACGAGTGACACCAGTAACGGAGCAGTGAGAGACCAGTAACACCAGTAAGGGACCAGTGACACCAGTAAGGGAGCAGTGACACCAGTAAGGGACCAGTGAGAGACCAGTGACACCAGTAAGGGACCAGTGACACCAGTAAGGGACCAGTGACACCAGTAAGGGAGCAGTGACACCAGTAAGGGAGCAGTGACACCAGTAAGGGACCAGTGAGAGACCAGTAAGGGAGCAGTGAGAGACCAGTAACACCAGTAAGGGACCAGTGACACCAGTAAGGGACCAGTGACACCAGTAAGGGAGCAGTGACACCAGTAAGGGAGCAGCGACACCAGTAAGGGACCAGTGACACCAGTAAGGGACCAGTGACACCAGTAAGGGACCAGTGAGAGACCAGTAACACCAGTAAGGGACCAGTGACACCAGTAAGGGACCAGTGACACCAGTAAGGGACCAGTGACACCAGTTAGAGACCAGTAACACCAGTAAGGGACCAGTGACACCAGTAAGGGAGCAGTGACACCAGTAAGGGAGCAGTGACACCAGTAAGGGACCAGTGACACCAGTTAGAGACCAGTAACACCAGTAAGGGACCAGTGACACCAGTAAGGGAGCAGTGAGAGACCAGTAACACCAGTAAGGGACCAGTGACACCAGTAAGGGAGCAGCGACACCAGTAAGGGAGCAGCGACACCAGTAAGGGAGCAGTGAGAGACCAGTAACACCAGTAAGGGACCAGTGACACGAGTAAGGGAGCAGCGACACCAGTAAGGGAGCAGTGAGAGACCAGTAACACCAGTAAGGGAGCAGTGACACCAGTAAGGGACCAGTGACACCAGTAAGGGACCAGTGACACCAGTAAGGGAGCAGTGACACCAGTAAGGGAGCAGCGACACCAGTAAGGGAGCAGCGACACCAGTAAGGGAGCAGTGACACCAGTAAGGGACCAGTGACACCAGTAAGGGAGCAGTGAGAGACCAGTAACACCAGTAAGGGAGCAGTGACACCAGTAAGGGACCAGTGACACCAGTAAGGGACCAGTAACACCAGTAAGGGAGCAGTGACACCAGTAAGGGACCAGTGACACCAGTTAGAGACCAGTAACACCAGTAAGGGACCAGTGACACCAGTAAGGGACCAGTGACACCAGTTAGAGACCAGTGACACCAGTTAGAGACCAGTAACACCAGTAAGGGACCAGTGACACCAGTAAGGGACCAGTGAGAGACCAGTAACACCAGTAAGGGAGCAGTGACACCAGTAAGGGACCAGTGACACCAGTAAGGGAGCAGTAACACCAGTAAGGGACCAGTGACACCAGTAAGGGAGCAGTGACACCAGTAAGGGACCAGTAACACCAGTAAGGGACCAGTGACACCAGTAAGGGACCAGTGACACCAGTAAGGGAGCAGTGACACCAGTAAGGGACCAGTGACACCAGTAAGGGACCAGTGACACCAGTAAGGGACCAGTAACACCAGTAAGGGAGCAGTGACACCAGTAAGGGACCAGTAACACCAGTAAGGGACCAGTGACACCAGTAAGTGACCAGTGACACCAGTAAGGGAGCAGTGACACCAGTAAGGGAGCAGTGACACCAGTAAGGGACCAGTAACACCAGTAAGGGACCAGTAACACCAGTAAGGGAGCAGTGACACCAGTAAGGGACCAGTAACACCAGTAAGGGAGCAGTGACACCAGTAAGGGACCAGTAACACCAGTAAGGGACCAGTGACACCAGTAAGTGACCAGTGACACCAGTAAGGGACCAGTGAGAGACCAGTAACACCAGTGAGAGACCAGTGAGATACCAGGGAGAGACGATCCCCATGCCCCCTATCTCCATATCCCATGTCCCATATCCTCATAACCCCACATCCCATAACCCCATATCCCTGTATCCCGATCTCCCCCTATCCCACATCCCCATATCCCTACCCCATGTCTCTATCCCTATCCCATATCCCTATCCTATATCCTTGTCCATATCCCTATACCTATCCCATATGCTTATCCATATCCCTATCGCTATCTCATGTCCATATCCCTATCCCATATCTATACCCTATATCCATATCCCATATCCCTATCCCATATCCGTATCCCATATCCCTATCCCATATCCATATCCCTATCCCATATCCCATATCCCTATCCCATATCCTTATCCATATCCCATATCCCCATCCCATATCCCTATCCCATATCCGCATTCCATATCCCTATCCCAATCCCATATCCATATCCATATCCCCTATCCCCTATCCCTATCCCATATCCCCAATCCCATATCCCTATCCCATATCCATATCCCTATCCCGTATCCTTATCCCTATCCCATATCCATATCCCATACCCATATCCCTATTCCTATCCCATATCCTTATCCATATCCCATATCCCCATCCCATATCCCTATCCCATATCCGCATTCCATATCCCTATCCCAATCCCATATCCATATCCATATCCCCTATCCCATATCCATATCCCATATCCCAATCCCATATCCCTATCCCATATCCCCTATCCCATATCCCTATCCCATATCCCCAATCCCATATCCCTATCCCATATCCATATCCCATATTCGTATCCCATATCCCTATCCCATATCCATACCCCTATCCCTATCCCATATCCTTATCCCTATCCCATATCCCTATATCTATCCCATACCCCATATCCCTATCCCATATCCATATCCCTATCCCTATCCCATATCCTTATCCCTATCCCATATCCATACCCCTATCCCTATCCCATCCCTATATCTATCCCATACCCCATATCCTTATCCCTATCCCATATCCCTATATCTATCCCATACCCCATATCCCTATCCCATATCCATATCCCTATCCCGATCCCATATCCTTATCCCTATCCCATATCCCTATATCTATCCCATACCCCATATCCTTATCCCTATCCCATATCCCTATATCTATCCCATACCCCATATCCCTATCCCATATCCATATCCCTATCCCATATCCTTATCCCTATCCCATATCCATATCCCTATCCCTATCCCATATCCTTATCCCTATCCCATATCCCTATATCTATCCCATACCCCATATCCCTATCCCATATCCATATCCCTATCTCTATCCCATATCCTTATCCCTATCCCATATCCCTATACCTATCCCATATCCCTATCCCATATCCGTATCCCTATCCCCATCCCATATCCTTATCCCTATCCCATATCCCTATCCCATATCCATATCCCTATCCCATATCCATATCCCATACCCATATCCCTATCCCATATCCTTATCCATATCCCATATCACCATCCCATATCCCAATCCCATATCCATATCCCCTATCCATATCCCTATCCCATATCCCTACCCCATATGCCTATCCCTCCCCCATGTCTCTATCCCTATCCCCTATCCCAACCCCCTATCCCCAATCCCAATCCCCAATCCCCTATCCCAATCCCTCATCCCCTATCCCCTACCCCATACCCCTACCCCCATCCCAATCCCCTATCCCCTACCCCCTATCCTATTATCCCAATCCCCTATCCCCAATCCCCTATCCCTATCCCATATCTCTATCCCTATCCCAATCCCCCACCTCCTATCCCATCCCTTATCCCATCCCCTATCCCCAATCCCAATCCCCTATCCCATCCCCTATCCCATCCCATATCTCTATCCCTATCCCAATCCCCCACCCCCTATCCCATCCCCTATCCCCAATCCCCATCCCCTATCCCCAATCCCCACCCCCTATCCCATCCCCTATCCAATCCCCTATCCCCAATCCCCATCCCCTATCCCAATCCCCAATCCCCATCCCCTATCCCCAATCCCCATCCCCTATCCCATCCCCTATCCCCAATCCCCAATCCCCATCCCCTATCCCAATCCCCAATCCCTATCCCCAATCCCTATCCCCATCCCCAATCCCCATCCCCTATCCCCAATCCCCATCCCCTATCCCCAATCCCCATCCCCTATCCCAATCCCCATCCCCCATCCCCTATCCCATCCCCTATCCCCAATCCCCAATCCCCATCCCCTATCCCAATCCCCAATCCCCATCCCCTATCCCATCCCCTATCCCCAATCCCCTATCCCCAATCCCCATCCCCAATCCCCATCCCCTATCCCCAATCCCCAATCCCCATCCCCTCTCCCACTCCCCAATCCCCATTCCCCCCCTCCCCAAATCCCCGTTCCCCCGATCCCCATTCCCCCCTCACCCTGATGGGGCAGGTAGCGGAACTCCACTGGGGCGCTGCGCTGGCGGTCGGACGGGCGCTGCAGCTCCATGCGGACGCTGCGCGGGTGCCGGAGGCCGGGATCCAGGAACGCGGGCGTCCGGAACACGATGGCGACCTGGCGGTGGACGTCGGCCTGCGCGAAGGAGCCGCGAGCTTCCCAGCCCTCGGCCCAGAACCGCACCTCGATGTCCTCTGGGGGGGGGGGGACACCGTGGGTGGGGGGGACCCATGGGTGGGGGGGACCCATGGGTGGGGGGTACCCATAGGGTGGGGGGGAGCCATTGGGGGGGGCAGCCATTGGGGGGGTACCCATGGGTGGGGGGTACCCATAGGGTGGGAAGGGAGACATTGGGGGGGTACCCATACAGTGGGGGGGCAGCCATTGGGGGGGGTACCTGTAGGGTGGGGGGGCAGCCATTGGGGGGGGGGCATCCATGGGTGGGGGGAACTCATAGGGTGGGGGGTACCCATGGGTGGGGGGGGCAGCCATTGGGGGGGGAAACCATGGGTGGGGGTACCCATAGGGTGGGTGGTACCCATAGGTGGGGGGTACCCATGGGTGGGGGGGTACCCATAGGGTGGGGGGTACCCGTAGGGTGGGGCGGCAGCCATTGGGTGAGGGGGGCATCCATGGGTGGGGGGTACCCATAGGGTGAGGGGGCATCCATTGGGGGAAAGCCATGCGTGGGGGTACCCATGGGTGGGGGGGCAGCCATTGGGTGGGGGGCACACATAGGGTGGGCAGCCATTGGGGGGGGTACTCGTAGGGTGGGGGGTACCCATGGGTGGGGGGTACCCATAGGTTGGGAGGGGGCATCCATTGGGGGGGGTACCGGTAGGGTGGGGGGGCAGCCATTGGGGGGGGTACCCATAGGGTGGGGGGGGAGCCATTGGGGGGGGGTACCCATAGGGTGGGGGGGAGCCATTGGGGGGGTACCCATAGGGTGGGGGGGAGCCATTGGGGGGGGGTACCCATGGGTGGGGGGTACCCATGGGTGGGGGGGCAGCCATGGGGGGGGGGGCATCCATGGGTGGGGGGTACTCATAGGGTGGGGGGTACCCATGGGTGGGGGGGGCAGCCCTTGGGGGGGGGGAAGCCATGGGTGGGGGTACCCATAGGGTGGGGGGTACCCATGGGGGGGGGGCAGCCATTGGGTGGGGCCACACGAAGGGTGGGGAGGGCAGCCATTGGGGGGGGGGCATCCATGGGTGGGGGGGCACCCATGGGTGGGGGGCAGACATTGGGGGGGGCAGCCATGGGTGGGGGGTACCCATGGGTGGGGGGTACCCATAGGGTGGGGGGGGAGCCATTGGGAGGGGGGCATCCATGGATGGGGGGCATCCATGGGTGGGGGGGCAGCCATTGGGGGGGGGCATCCATGGGTGGGGGGTACTCATAGGGTGGGGGGTACCCATGGGTGGGGGGGGCAGCCATTGGGGGGGGGGAAGCCATGGGTGGGGGTACCCATAGGGTGGGGGGTACCCGTAGGGTGGGGGGGCAGCCATTGGGTGAGGGGGGCATCCATGGGTGGGGGGTACCCATGGGTGGGGGGTACCCATAGGGAGAGGGGGCATCCATTGGGGGAGGGGGGAAGCCATGGGTGGGGGTACCCATGGGTGGGGGGGCAGCCATTGGGTGGGGGGGGGCCATTGGGGGGGCACCCATGGGTGGGGGTACCCATAGGGTGGGGGGTACCCGTAGGGTGGGAGGGGAGCCATTGGGGGGGTACGCATAGGGTGGGGGGTTTTGGGGTGATTCAGGTGTGTTTCGGGGTGATCCAGGCTGTTTTGGGGTGATTTTGGGGTGGTTTTGGCTGTTCTGGGGTGGTTTTGGCTGTTTTAGGGTGACTCGGGTGTGTTTTGGGGTGATTTTGGGGTGATCCGGGCTGTTTTGGGGTGATTTTGGCTGTTTCGGGATGATTTTGGGGTGTTTTGGGGTGATTTTGGCTGTTTCGGGGTGATTTTAGGGTGATCTGGGCTGTTTTGGGTTGATTTTGGGCTGATTTGGGCTGTTTCAGGATGATTTTGGGGTGTTTCGGGGTGATTTTGGGGTGTTTTTGGCTGTTCCAGGGTGATTTTGGGGTGTTTCGAGGTGATTTTGGGGTGTTTCTGGCTGTTCTGGGTTGATTTTGGGGTGTTCCGGGGTGATTTTGGGGTGATTCGGGGTGATTTTGGGGTGTTTCGGGGTGATTTTGGGGTGTTTTTGGCTGTTTCGGGGTGATTTTGGGGTGTTTCGGGGTGATTTTGGGGTGTTTTGGGCTGTTCCGGGGTGATTTTGGGGTGTTTCGGGGTGATTTTGGCTGTTCCGGGGTGATATTGGGGTGTTTCGGGGTGATTTCGGGGTGTTTTTGGCTGTTTCGGGGTGATTTTGGGGTGTTTCGGGGTGATTTTGGGGTGTTTTGGGCTGTTCCGGGGTGATTTTGGGGTGTTTCTGGGGTGTTTTTGGCTGTTTCGGGCTGACCTTTCTGCACTTTGTCGCACAGGAGGAAGATCTCGTCCCCCCCCCGGCAGCTCCCACAGTTCCGGTTCACGCGGCAGATCCGCAGCTCGGCCGCGCTGGGGGCGCCTGGGGGGGGGCACAGGTCATGTGGGGTCACAAGGGGTCATGTGGGGTCATAGGGGTCACCTAGGGTCCCATGGGTTCATGTGGGGTCATAGGGGTCACTTAGGGTCCCATGGGGTCATGTGGGGTTATAGGGGTCACCTAGGGTCCCATGGGGTCATGTGGGGTTATAGGGGTCACCTAGGGTCCCATGGGGGTCACCTAGGGTGCCATGGGGTCATGTGGGGTCATAGGGGTCACCTAGGGTCCCACGGGGTCATGTGGGGTCATAGGGGTCACCTAGGGTCCCATGGGGGTCACCTAGGGTGCCATGGGGTCATGCAGGGTCATAGGGGTCACCTAGGGTCCCATAGGATGCCATGGGGTCATGCAGGGTCATAGGGGTCACCTAGGGTCCCATGGGGTCATGTAGGGTCATAGGGGTCACCTAGGGTCCTATAGGGTCACATGGTGCCATAAGGGTCAAGTGGGGTCATTTGGGGTCACGCAGACTTATATGGGGTCCCTAAAGTGGGTTATTGGGGTCCCAGGGGGTATTTGGGGTCCCAGGTGGGAATTTGGGGTCCCTGGAGTGAGCTATTGGGGTCCCAGGGGGGTTACTGGGGTCCCAGGGTGTTACTGGGGTCCCGGGGCGGGGTATTTGAGGTCCCAGGGGGTATTTGGGGTCCCAGGGGGCTTATTGGGGTTCCAAAGGGGGTATTTTGGGTCCCAGGGGGGTTATTGGGATCCTAGGGGGGTTACTGGGGTCCTAGGGGACTTATTGGGGTCCCAGGGGGGGTTATTGGGGTCCCGGGGGGGGTTATTGGGGTCCCGGGGGGGTTATTGAGGTCCTGGGGGGGGTATTTGGGGTTCTAAGGGGAATATTTGGGGTCCCGGGGGGGTTATTGGGGTCCAAGGGGGATATTTGGGGTCCCAGGAGGGAATTTGGGGTCCCAAGGGGGTATTTGGGGTGCGGGGGGGGTACTGGGTTCCCAGGGGGGTATTTGGGGTGCAGGGGGGGGTATTGGGGTCACTCACGGTTGTCATAGACGGGCTGGGACAGGAGGGGGGGCAGCGGGAGCCACCCCCCCCCCGCACCCCGCACCCACACCTGGAAGCAGAGCCGCACCGAGCTCAGGTCGTACTCGCCCCCCCGCTGCTCTGCTGGCACTGGGAACCAGTAGGGACCAGTGTTAACCAGTATGGACCAGTATAGACCAGTATGGACCAGTGTTAACCAGTATGGACCAATGTCAACCAGTATGGACCAGTATGAACTGGTATGGACTGGTATGGATCAGTACGGACCGATGACATCCAGTATGGACATCAAGTAGTATAGACCGGTATGAACCAGTATGGACCGGTATCAACTGGTATGGATCAGTACAGACCAGTATGGACCAATGCCAACTGGTAGGAACCAGTATGGACCGTTATCAACTGGTATGGACTGGTATGGATCAGTATGGACCGATACAGACCAGTATGAACGTCAACTGGTATGAAATGGTATAAACCAGTATGGACTGGTATCAACTGGTATGGATCAGTACGGCCCCATACAGACCAGTATGGACACCAACTGGTATCGACCAGTATGAACCAGTATGGACCAGTATCAACTGGTATGAATGGGTATGAATCAGTACAGACCAATACAGACCAGTATGGACCAACATCAACTGGTATGGACCAGCATGAACCAGTATGGACCAGTATCAACTGGTATGGATGGGTATGAATCAGTACAGACTGACACAGACCAGTATGGATCAACGCCAGAATGAATGGTACACATTGGTACAGACCAGTATGGACTGAAATGGACCAGTACATACTGGTATGGACTGGTTTGGACTGGAATAGATCAGTACATACTGGTACGGGCCAGTACGGACTGGAATGGACTAGTATATACTGGTATGGAGTAGTTCGGACCAGTACAGACTGGAATAGACTGGTATGGACCAGAATGAACAGTACACACTGGTACAGACTGGAATGGACCAGTATGGACTGGAATGGACCAGTACATACCAGTACGGAGCAGTATGGACTGGAATGAACCAGCGCATACCGGTACGGACCAGTTTGGACTGGAATGGACCAGTCCATAATGGTACGGACCAGTCTGGACTGGAACGGACCAGTACATACTGGTACGGACCAGTTTGGACTGGAATGGACCAGTACACACTGGTATGGACCACTACAGACTGGAATAGACCAGTCCATACTGGTATGGACCAGTTTGGACTGGAATGGACCAGTCCATAATGGTATGGACCAGTCTGGACTGGAATGGACCAGTACACACTGGTATGGACCAGTACGGACTGAAATAGACCAGTCCATATTGGTATGGACCAGTTTGGACTGGAATGGACCAGTCCATAATGGTATGGACCAGTCTGGACTGGAATGGACCAGTCCATAATGGTATGAACCAGTCTGGACTGGAATGGACCAGTACACACTGGTATGGACCAGTACGGACTGGAATGGACCAGTCCATAATGGCATGGACCAGTCTGGACTGGAATGGACCAACATGGAGCCCCCAAAACCCTACAGCATCCCCCCCACCCCAGCATCCCCAAGAGCCTCCCAGCATAAACCAGTATAAACCCAACTGAAACCACTCCCCCTCCCAGTCCCCGTCCCCCCCCCCCCCCCTTTCCCAGTGCTCCCAGTGCTCCCAGTTACCATTGAAGGGGTTGTTGTTGGTGCGGATGCGCTCGGCCACGGCCGCCTCCAGCTCCCGCTTCTTCACGCACTGAATGCCCAGGTTCTGGAAACTGAATGGGAGGAAAAGGGGGGGGGGGGGGGGGGTTTCACCCCATAGATTTGGAGGGGGGGGGGGAGGTCCCAGCCCCACACTTGGGGGTCCCAGCCCCACCTGTGCACGCTGCGCTCGGGGGGCAGCTCAGCCTCGTAGTAGCCGTCGTGGCAATCCTTGCCCACCAGCTCGTGGGGGTGAGGGCGATGGGGGGGGTCCTTGGTCACCAGCGACACCCGCACCCGGCTCGGGCCCCGGTAGTTGTTCACCTGGGGGGGGGGGGAATGCACTGGGTTGGACTGGGTTGGACTGGTTTGGACTGGTTTGGACTGGGTTGGACAGGTCTGGATTGGTTTGGACTGGTTTGGATTGGATTGGACTGGTTTGGATCGGTTTGGACTGGTTTGGATTGGTTTGGAGTGGTTTGGATTGGATTGGACTGGTTTGGGTTGGTTTGGACTGGTTTGGATTGGATTGGATTGGTTTGGATTGGATTGGACTGGTTTGGATTGGATTGGACTGGTTTGGACTGGTTTGAAGTGGTTTGGATTGGATTGGACTGGTTTGGATTGGATTGGACTGGTTTGGATTGGATTGGACTGGTTTGGAGTGGTTTGGACTGGTTTGGATCGGTTTGGAGTGGTTTGGATCAGTTTGGAGTTGTTTGGATTGGATTGGACTGGTTTGGACTGGTTTGGATTGGATTGGAT